AGAGAGAGAGAGAGAGAGAGAAGTGGTGGCTAGTTTTTTCAACTGGAAAGATACAAAAGCATAAATTTGTTCTTATGAATGGAAAGGTTTTGATAATTTTGTTTTTATTATGGATACTGTGCTTCCAAGTTCCTGTTCCCAGGTTATTAACCAGCTTCTGTCCCTATTGTCTTCTTCACTATGAATGGTGAGAAAGATTCAGAAAGAGAATCATCTGGTGTTGCAATTTAATGAAGGGGGTAGAATCGTGTAGAGATTTGGGACCAGGGGTTTTAAGTGTGATGTGAAGTGCAGAGCTGATCAAATGCCTTTTCGGGAACAATGTCTTGCACCAGAGAACACTGCTTAGTAACATGATTATGAATGAATCTATATTAAAGTCATTGTGGTAAAATTACAATGGCATCTAGATCAGGCTGCCCGATGTTCTTGGAGAGATGGAATGAAACATTATTTTGACAAGGGAGGGGAAGTCATATTTGAGTGATAGGCCTTGGTGGGGCTCCAGTTGCAGATGACAAATTGTTATCCAGATGTTATCTGTGGATGACAAATTGCAATATCATCCTGGTAGTCTAGACAAGGGAAATACAAAACAGCTTTTAACTTGCTCTTTGTAGATGTAATGTTATATCTACATACAGACTTACCTACAGTATATCAATGTCATATGTCTTTAAAATCAAGCTTAGGTCTTAATAACTAAGGTTTATTTGATAATGGCTAGGGGCTCAGTGTATGTGGACCTCTGCCCTCTATCTTATCCTTGAATGTAACATGTAACACCAAGATTGCGTGGGCCTTTTGTTTTGTGTGCTTTTTTTCCCAAATGTTTGTTAATTTTGTTTACAAAAATGAATTCTAAAATGTATTTTAAAAATAATTTTAAACATAACTATGTCCTTGCACCTTAAATGATAAAATCTAAAAATCTTTTGCACAATGATGAAGCCTAATTTTCCATTATCTATTGCCTCTCAACTAGAGGCTTAATGGTGAAGTCACACAGCTGAATATTGAAGAAGCAATTCTTACTTGTGAAACTTTCTCAGACTCCGTTCACAAATTCCACTCCCAAGTTGAGTTGACTAAGCCAAAGACAACACATTAATCATGCATAGGCCTGTATATACAATTAATTCATTTACATGTTTGGGAAGATTCTACCTTGACTGAGTCATTTAGTATTTGATTCTGCTCAGTTTAAAATCAGGGATTACTTTGGGATAAAGTTCTAACTTGGTATATTTTGAAAGTTCTGCCTTCCTAGCTGATTAAGTTTTGGTCATTTTATCTTTTAACCACATTTAAATGCATTTAATTCTGCTTGCATTGTTTTGAAGGTTGCTTTGAGTCCTGAAAGCAAATGTACATGTCTTTATTTTCTCTGCAAAACAATGAAAGTAATCATACAGTGATTGATTGGTGATATAACCTATAAAGCATGGAGAAAGAGCATTTTTGGAAGCAGGGAGGCCACAGATATTTGCCATTGAAGGCCACATACAATAATGCCACTGAAGAGGGAAGGTCTAAAGTTTTTGACCCACTTGGAGCCAGAGGAGAAAACATTGAAAGGCAATTTCAAAGGCAAAAATAATGTTGCCTTTTAAATAGTACATAACAAAAATATCTAATAAATAACAAAACAAAGTTGAAAAGAAACTTAAAACAAAACTCAAGAATATTAACAAAATTATATATAATTCCTCCTCTCAGTTCTGTTTAATACTAAAGAGAGAAACACCAAAATTAAGCTAATGGCCTTTGAATTTTGGTGGCACAATCTTGAGTGGTGGGGAAAGGTTTGGGATGCCACAGTAATGTGAATTAGGCCTTATAGGAGACCTGCAGATTGCCTGGTCCTGTATAAAAGTGAAGCTTGAAAGCTTGCTATTATATATGAATTCCCTAATGTAAATAATGCAGCTATAAACATGCATAAAATATTGACAATATCATGACTGGTGATGCTTCATTATTTCTATTATGTTATGGAGTGTGTGTGTGTGTGTGCAGGATGAATTATGATGAGGAGCTCTGGTGGTGCAGTGGTTAGAATGTAGTATTGCAGGCAAATTCTGTCCACAGACTGGAGTTCAATCCTGATGGGGCTCAAGGTTGACTCAGCCTTCTTTCCTTCTGAGGTCAACGAAATGAGGACTCAGATTGATGGGAGCAATATGCTGATATTGTAAACTGCCCAGAGAGTGATGTAAAGTGCTATGGGGTGGTGTATAAGTCTAAGTGCTATTAGTATTGCTAGGATGAATCACCAGCCAAACTACTGTAATTGAATGTCTTTCAGTTGGGTTGGACCTCAGGTCCCATCTGAAGTTGGAGGAAGGTTCAGCAAATTTGGAGTGCCCCAGGGAAAGGCTGTCATTCCATTTTGAAAGGATAGGTTTATAAGGATTACCAAATACTATTCCATCAGAATCCTAGGTCAGCTAAAATCACTAAATATGAAAATTTATTTCATCATATTTATTTCCTAATTCCACTGTGTGTAATCAGTGAACTCATTACTTTTCCTTACTGGAAATTTAAAATATTATTTTAAAATACATTAAAAAANGGTCTTGTAACTTGACAGCTTTAAGACTTGCATGCTTCAAATGCCAGAGTTTCTGAGCCAACATTTTGGTAAACAAGTTTCTGAGCCAACAAGTTGGTAAACAAGTTTCTGAGCCAACATTTTGGTAAACAAGAGCGTTAAGTGAGTTTCACCACATTTTACAAGTTGGCCATGCCCACCCAGTCACATGGCCGGCAAGCCACTCCCATCCGGTCACATGGCTGGCAAGCCACTCCCACAAAGCAGGCCACACAGAAGAGGTTCTAAAAAAATTTTAAACCCACCATTGGTGTGTATGTATGTGTGTGTATATATACACATACACACACACACAATTATACTGATGGCAAATAAATTTGAACATGCAGTTACATGAATGCATTTCTGTAGAATACATTTGAAGATATTCTTGTTATGATTATGGCACTGGTACAGACACAGTTGGTACAACTGGTATGTGGAACTCACAGGTGGATTAACACTTTTTTGCAGGCCAAAAAGAACAATATATATTGAGATTGTTAAATACCTGCTGGATGAATAAAATGGAAAAGTGTTGGACAAAAAATCTTAAAGTTTTCATTCTATATAAGTCATAAAGGGCTACAATATCAGAGATGCAAAAATCCAGTTTATGGATCATAACGCAAAGGGATACAAATAATGTGAACACTCTTGTCATATAGACGTTATTAGGAATTATATAGCCTAGATACAGTAACCCTAGTTTTTCCAGGTTTATAACATACATTACATTAAACCAAAGCCATGCAAGCCACAATGGTGTAATGGGATTTTTGAACCCATTTGTAGATCACAGAATTATTTTATAAACTTGGGATTTTGTAGGTGGATTTTAAGATGAGAATTTTGTGCAAATCTAGCCATTTGTGATTAACCATGATTGCGTAAATTGTATTAAGCTAGTTAGAACCCTCAAGTAAAACATTGCTGGTGCTAAAAAATTTACATTTTGTTACAGATTGTGCTACACACACACAAACATTTTGAACAACTGTACAAAGTTTTTCTTTGCAAGAAAGACAGAGAGAGAGAGAGAGAGAGA